TAGATGTGATACTGAATGTTTAACGGTTCAGTTGTCAAAGCCGAAAGAGGAGTTCAGCAATTTTTATTACAGTTACTAATTTAGCAACAAGCATGGATCCGCAATATGCAGCTACCAATAGAAAAAAGCAAAAGGATGTGGTATAGTGTCGTGACCAGGTTCAACAGAAGCACACTGAGCTGAGCTGTACATAATCAAATTCCCCATCTTACGGCAGCAGAAAAGCGTGCATATAAAGACACGACTGGTAAAAACAATTCCCACTCTCCGTGTCATTTTTTAATATTTCCACAGCCACGGGTTTTGTTTGCCCATTCTATTCAGCTGCGCTGAAAACACAAGAGAGGTGAGTTGAGATTGAGACAGTCAGCTTGACCTGAATCTGTGAGCATATCTGTCTCTGTTTATCTACATACCACTACCAGGCATTCTGTTGGAGTCCATGCATATTTTATGTGTCAGATTCCCCTGTTGGTCTGCGGTAATACCTGTTGCACAAAGTATTTCAGTTTTCCTACTTCCACAGCTTCCTTCCACTGGTCAGAAAACACAACTGTTACCTAGCAACCCACCATCCCAGACCTCTTGCCTAACCCTCAAGTCTTTTTTCACAGTCTTTATCAAAGACTAAAGACAAAGCACGAAGACAGGTGTGTGCAAGCACACATTTACACACCCACACACACAAGCAGACAGGCAATGACACCTTCATGAAAGTGCAGACGGCAACAAACATCTTATAACGAAAAGGAAGCAAGAGAGCCAAGTGTACAGCCATTTGCATGGGATAAATGAGCCATTAGGAGCCTTGATTGCATTATGCTGTCTTGATGGAGCAAGCAGTAGCTTTCTGCATCTTTAGACCTTTTAAGCAGTACAATAAGGATGAATCAAATGTTTGTTTACATTGCTGGTAAAATTCTTTTGTTTCTTCATGTATTCTACTTGACATTAAAATCACTAACATTGCTGAAAATGGTCAGGGTTTCAGAATCAGCTTTGGTACAATTCTAGATGTCTACGAATAGCTAAGACTAAAGAAAAAATATTTAATTTTGTGTTAGGATAACAATTTCCTGTTATATTTCCTACTAAATGAAAACTGCATTTAAAGATGTAAATCAAAAGTTTAGAAAGGAGTTATTTTCCAGATTAATTACTAATCAGTAACAACCTGACTTGGAGGTTACTTTCATACACCACTGACACATTTCCAAGGGTGAAATCAGCATTCAGACTCTTACATCTGGGGAAACATATTCAAACATATTACATACTAACAATAGTGATGATTCGTTTGATTAAGCGGAGAAATGTAGAAGATAATCTTAGCTATTTATTTCACATCTGGTTGGTAAAAAAAGAATAAAATAAAAGAGGTCGGATAATCTTCTGATTGAGGCAGCAAGTTCCAGCTGAGAGATAAATAACTCCATTACTCATCTCAGAGTTCACACCATGTCTGTTAAAGAGCCACAAGAGCCACCGTCATGAGTTCTTTTTTTGCCTGCCTTTCATCATAATACCCCAAATTGGGCTCTTTTTACCAGATCACTTACTATGTAGAAGGGAGGGGTCTAGACGAGGCAGGATGAAACCTCTCTAGTGAATTTGCATCCAGGAGGAAAAATCAGAAGCAAAAGAAGCTGTCAAGGATACCCTAAAAGATAGTAATTTAATATTTCACCTTGTCCTTTAGATATTGGGTGTGATTTCAATTACGCACAGATAGAGTGGGGTCTCTAAGTAATTGGATACTGACGCAGTTAATGAAATTTAGCCCCAATACCACACCTCCGCAATCAGGATGTGGAAGGTGTTTGACTTTCTTGACAATGTCATTGAAAGTTAAAGCTCAGCAGTGAAGACAAATTGTTTTAGACTCATGGACAGGGATTTTCTAATCCTAACCAATTTCGGTTATTGGGAACGTCATCGCTTCTTCAAGCAAACATTTTCAGATGGTGTCTGCTCTTGCTTGAAAGCATGCACACAGGTTGCATTTATTTTTGGCTGATACACAAGACTGTGTGTGGGTTGTTGTTAAGGAGTATGAATGAATTGAATACATGTTTTGAGGACTTCCATTTCGGGGCTTTCTAAAATAATCAGAGCTGATTCTGTTGACTATCGTGCCACTTTAATCCAGGTGGGGGCACAGACTGGTTCTGTCTCCAGAAGCCTTGCAACATATCTTTAGGATGACACCTAGAAAGATGATTAATCTTACATTCCTGGACTTGCAGGAATGCAACTGATTCACAAGGTAGTGTGTCATATGAATATATCCGTACCAATGAAACTAGGTCACTGTTGTTGCTAAATTAAGAGATAGCTGTTAAACTGGAAACTTCTGAGGTAAATTTAAAAAAGAAAAACTTTTTAGATTACTTGGTAGAGCATACATGTCACATATGGAGGTAATTTTAGCCTATTTATTGTAATCCCTAACTATATTTACATCTAATTATTTAACAGTTTGCCAAATCTATGCATTTGTGATGGAAAACAGAAAACCAAAAAGCACCTACAAGGAGCAGTGGTTCAGAATTCAGTAATTCAGTGGTGTCGGTGGTGAGGTCAGTGGCTTCCAGTCTTTGGGTTGTTATCAACAGCCAACAGTTTGAAATTATGACAGACCCCATTACACAGGTTTTGGGATGAACCCTTAAAATGTGCTAAAATCTACAAACCCATATACTTTTGTTGTTGCATGAAAAGATGGAGCATCGTCATGGCACAGAAAATGCACCTTCACATCCTGTGCAAAACAGAGCACTCAGTATTCATTACAATCCATTACAGTCCTCAAAGTCCATTATCCAAACAGATGTTGCTGGTTGTGTTGGTTTCCATTCGGGACCAAAAGGCCATGGTGTGTCAGTGTTACTATACTTACCGATGTAGTAACACTCACCTCAACTTGGCGATGGAGACAACTGTGAAGAAAACTTTGTGAGAATCAGCAGAAGCCCAGTGGCAAAGTACCACAGAGTTATTCCTTATTACCACTTTTTTATTCCTTTATCTTTCATTCATTTAGGCATTGATCACTAGTTTTACAAAATCAAAATATTCGTGTGAAGATGAAATATGGGAGACAAATATAGATATGCTCTTTCTTGTGTACACTGTGAAATGGAACTGATGCACTAGGCTCAGGGACAGATAAGTATGCCAGATGTGGAACATCATTGGTGAAACTCATGTCTAATTTAAATATGATGCTGTGTGTACATAGAGCTGAAGAAATCCATTCCATGGGGGCTACTTGAAGGGTGTGAATGATGAGCAAAGGCAGGATGAAAGTGAGAGGCATATTTCGATAAAGAAAACTGCTAAAATGTGGGAGTTCTCAGTGTGTGATGCTGTCAGATGTAACAGACCAGATGTCATTTGCAAGTGAGATTTGTCCTTAGCAGATTTGTGGCTGATGAGATATCAGTGGTTTCTATAGATTGCATTCAAAGTTACAAAACTATGCAGATCAGAAGACTTTATGTCAGAGGAAGTTGACCTACTTGCCTCATGGGAGAAGAGACACTGCTTTCCCTGCTGCACAACAGTCCTCCTCTGGGGAGGGAGGCCTATGCGTCCCTAGTCCACAGAGTCTCTTGTATGCATTCCATCCTATCGCTATCATCCATTCCATTCTCCACCATGTCCATCCCACAGAGTTGAGGTTTATTCTGGTGTTCAGTATTCAGTATCCTGTATCTCTCTCCCTGTGTGGAGAGATGGGGAAGTCCAGGTTTTCAGAAACCTCCTTTCTGAAGGGTAGAGTACGAAAAGCCCCCTTCACAATTGGAGGTGGGCATATCAGTGTGCAGAACTAAGTGGGAATGACTCATGTCTGAAAATTAGAGTTCACAGGACCCGTGCATTTAAGCTTTCCACCTTTGAGCGATTTTTCCATGCCAACTCAATATAGTTTTTTCTGATGTTCATAAAATCTGACAGAGGAATTAATGATTGCTGCAGGTATTAGCTAGAGGGCACGGGGATTGTTGTCTGACTGAATCCTGCTTTTCTGTATAACGCTTTATCAGAGTTCTACTAATCCAAGTCCAACGATCTGAACGCTGTCTGGGTTTTTACATTGTAAATCAGGCAAATTCTGGCCAACAGAGGCTGGATCATCATACATGTGGAATATATAACAGCGAGGAGAGATAGTCGCTCGCTCAAAGAACCACGGTTACATTTTATCCATATGATCCACTACACTATATACTTTCTTCACTTCCTACTTCCACTACATGCTTCCGCTGTCATGTATTATCTCCATCGACTGTGGAATTCCCTTTCATATTATTTGTCGGTCTTAAACTTTAGTGATCAAGAATTAAAAAGATAAAGTATAAAATAAACAATCAAATTGCATTAACTGTGACATTTTTAATAATAATAAGAGAAAATGATACCAACCTTTGATCAGTTTATAAAAATAATTAGAAAACTAAAGAAGTCTTTTGTGTTTATAGTGCGACTAACTGTGTTTGTTATTTGTGTCCACTAGGTGTCACTCCATCTTTTCAAAACGGTGCTGAGGAGTCAACTTGCCATGAAAAACTGTGATCAAGTCAACAGACAGAAAGACGGAAAGACGGTCACAAAGATGAGTTGCACATCTCTGTGCCAGCTTTTGACAAAAATAAAATCAAATGTTGACCAGCCAACTTAAATTTTTGATGAATATCATGAAACCTATTCGTATGAGGAATGTTGTGGTCAAAGTACAGGGGAACTGAGGCTTTCCAGTTGTTCATAACCAGGGAGATATGAAAAAAACAGAACACATGGGACCAAATGAATGTGTTACAAGATTTGAATATGTTATTCAGATCCTAACCATTCCAAATTAACATATTTAAGGACGTTACTTGTGAGTTTGCGGCTGACAATGTGTGCCTACTCATCAAAAAAACAGAATAATAATGATTTCCATGCAGCCCCAGCTGTGATGTCATTAGTTTGTCTCCCGTGAACAAGCAGTAATAATGTTGTCAAAAGTGTTGCTGGGTGTCATTCTGTCCCTCCTCATTCTTCTGACTGTGGGTGGAAATGTGCTGGTGTGCCTGGCTGTCTGCGCCTCTCGACGCCTGCGCTGCATCACAAACTGTTTCATCGTGTCGCTGGCCGTCACCGATCTGCTGCTCGGCCTCCTGGTCCTCCCGTTCTCTGCCCTCCTCCAGTTCAACGACGACTGGCCACTGGGCCCGGTCTTCTGCAACTTCTACATCTGCATGGACGTGATGCTGTGCACCGCCTCCATCCTGACCCTGCTGGCCATCAGCTTGGACCGCTACCTGGCTGTGACCATGCCTCTGCGGTATGCCTCCCTCGTGTCGCCCTGGAGGGTCACCGTCACCATGGCGGGCGTCTGGACGGTGTCTGTGGCCGTGTCTTTCCTGCCGATCCAAATGGGGTGGAACACTGTGAACGGGACGGTGCAGAACCAGGGGCCTGCGGCCTCGGAGAGGCGATGCCGATTCGAGCTGAACAGACCTTACGTGCTCACCGACTCCCTCCTCACCTTTTTCCTGCCTCTGGTGGCTATGTGCTGGACCTACTATCGAATACTTTGCATTGCACAAGCTCAGGCCAAGCGCATCATCAGCACCCGGCCCCTGTGCGTCACCAGCTACAACGGCAGGAGCAATCCTTCCACCTGTACCACTCTGGTGTCCAGCGTTATGACGGTTGCACTGCGAGAGCACAAAGCCACGGTGACCCTGGCAGTGGTGATCGGGGCTTTTGTGGTGTGTTGGTTACCTTATTTTATCCTATTCACAATATTGGGACTAAAGGAGCACCCGGACCCCAGCTTAGTGCCAGAATTTCCCTTTGTGTTGTGGCTGGGATACGCCAACTCGGCTATCAACCCCATCCTCTACGGAGCCCTCAACAGGGACTTCAGGTCAGCATACACCCAATTACTTGGATGCAGATGCCCCACCTACAGAGGGTGGAGAAACCGACGGGAATCTCAAACCGTAAAAGCAGGTGAAGATGCGAAGTTTAATCTCGTGAGTTGGTTTTGTGCAAAAGCATTGACCCACCCCTCATTTTTGTCATATTTTGATTCCAACCCTTTAGAACAAGAAATCCTGAAAATGATGTCCTTAGGAACACATGATCTGAGAGAGGCACATTGATCTGTCAACTCCTCACTGACACCTCATTAGAAATGGTCTCCATGGAAACAGCACTGTCAAGAAATTCATCCTAAGAGAGGAAAACAGGGACAGTGACTGATGTTTGACGTGTGTCAGTAGCAACAGGTCTGATGGAGGGAATAATCCTCCCCAGAGTCCGGATATCAGTACTGCTAAAGCACTGTGGGATCATTTTGATGGATAATGGGAGAAAGGCAACCAATCTTTTTTTTAAATAGCTTTGGGGGCTCATTCAAGAAGTCTGGATAAATATCAATGAGGACCAAAGAAATTACCCCCAAAATATTTTCAAGTAGGTTTCAAGTTGAGCTGAACAGTTAATGTGATGACTGCAAATGTTGAATTTCAAGCTTATCAGAACTCTTAAGAAACACATTTTTTGGCTTACTGCATAAATATGTACATATACATGCATATATGAATGTTTATACGTTTAAGTAAACCTCTGCACCCAGTTTCCATTTTTTTGGCAACATATTACGAAATGAGGTGGAATACAAGACTTTTGCACAGTACTGTGTCTATAAGTGACATCATTCTGTGACCAGTATAACATGAGATAAATACACTGTAAAAACAATACACTGTATTTATGTCATGTTCTACTCTAATGAATGTTTTTCCATTTCTTATTTCCATCTCAGCCAGGGAGCAGCTGACAGAGATGACCCTGCTGTGTGGCCCCATCCCTACCACCTGCAGGGCAGCTAAAACAGACCAAAACGTCATGCCTGAAGAAGTGAACAGCGGGACAGCCACACCAACCATCCACTTTACAAATGGCATTGCTGCCACACATGACAGTGGCACTGAAGGGTAAATGCCTGTTTTGTCAGTATTTGTATGACACTTCCTAAACACATAGCTGAAACACTACAACACGAAACCTTCTCACCCTGAGAAGAACACAAATATGTCATTCATCTTATTCTTTGATTAACTCAGGTCAAGTGAGGCCAAAGTGGTCAGGAGCATGCTGTTGTGACAATTACACCAAGAACCAAGGAGAAAGCATCAGCATGAATAAAAAAAAGAGCAACAGACAGACACAAGATGGAATTGAGATGCAACAACCCCCACACATTCGGTGCCACAACAGAAACATCCATAATACAACATGTAAGTAGATATACTCCAAATACTGGCATCCCAACAGCCCCCACAGGCCCATCTTGCCCAGAACAAATGAACTGTGATACACAGATCCTAGCTGTGTCATCCACAGTGCATTAGGCCATATGGCAATATGCTTATTAGGCCAAGAAATGTGCTCTCAGAGCAGAGGAGACACATTATCCAGTTTCACGGCCTGCTTTCATTTCTCTGCATTTTGTGAGCAACACATACTAATGAGTTTGCCAAGTGAGAATTAGTTAAACACACAAAACAAGCTTTTTTCTTTTTTGTTTTTCTTTTATGATTACCATTGTGGAGGCTTAATGGGGCTGCATTTATTGCAGTAAACACACATATGGTATGGAATCAAATCCACATTTAAACTGTAAATTAGAATTTTTCAAACAAACACGCACACACACATATATAAATGTATACACACATATATATATATATATATATATATATGTATGTGTGTGTGTATGTGTGTATGTAATGCATTGGTTGTTAGTGTACTTATTATAAGTTAATTTAGTGTGTTTATGAATTAAGCAGGTTTCTAGCAGTATATGATACAAATATTGTTCATATATTCTAAAAATATTTTCTGTGTACATAATGTTTACTTCTGGTTGTAACAGCAACTATGTTTGTGTACAGCAGTCTGACTGTGAGAATATGAATCCACACTGCAGTGGTGAATTATGCTTCTCTCCATTGTCCATTAATAGGAAAGAGTAAATGAATCAAGAAAAACCTTTGATTCTTTTCATTTGTGTCTTTTTGTTAGAACGTTTTCCAGCCTAACTTGATCACAGAGTGGATCTCACAGCACCTCGTCAGTGAGGATCAGCGAACGAGCACGGTCAGACATCAGCCCCGGTGACTCTGGATTGAATTGTGGTTAGCCAACTTGGATGTTAAATTCATGAACGGTTGGACATTTTTATGCTGCCTCATGAGTGCACTCCAGTGGAAACACGAAGTACCACAATTTCAGCTTGGAGAAGGCACAGAGACTTCACATGACTACCATACTGATCAACATGCATATAAACAAACATGGGAGGTAATAAATGGACCTTAACTAAACCCATCCATATGACGAAATGTTTAGCCTTTGAATGTGTGGCTTGGTTCTGTGTCCATGTTGAAGACTCCATCCACGTCATATTTGGCTTTACTCTGTGCTGTAAACCTGACAAAAATGTGTAAACTGTTCTGTAAATGTGACTGAGAACTAGAAAAACTGCACATGCTGCTCCAAGAAAAAACTTAAAGATTTCAACCAAAACAATAAAGAGCTTCTCAAAGGTGATATGTAATGTGCAATACCATGACTGAAGGTAAATAGATATTTAATATCATGTGGAAGACTGCAGACAATGTGTGTGTGGCAAGTAGCATGTACGAGAGGCCTCTTGAGCCGCAATTCTAATGTGGTCTCACATATAATATCACACTCACACACTGAGTGGGTGAGAGTGGATTCATTTATCCATGTGGTAGAATATTGACATTTTCCATGGTCACCATCTATTTTTGTCTTTATCATTTATGCTCAGAACAGATAGAAATGTTTTCATTGTATTTCATAGTTTCATGTTAATTATGAGTTTAAAAGTTCTTTTCGGATTTCTGATTTAAGTTCTGCCTGTTCTTTGTGTCTTGTGCTTCATTGCATCTACCTGAAGGAATTCATCGATTTGCTCTGATCCCTCTGTTTTTTCTTGGTTCCTTCTGTTTCAATTATGTTGTCTCTACTGGCTCTATTCTTCAGAAAAGGAAACTTTTCTTTTTGTTACATAGTTGGTTTTCTGTTACCAAGCTTTTTTTTTTGCGTTTTTCCCTCTCCATCTCTCTTAACACACATATTTTGTGAGTGGGTCACAAGTCAGTGTGATCTGAGTGACTCAGTTTTTTACCACATATGACTTGTTTTGATGAAAATACTTTTTAAGGTTTTCTGACAACAACACTTTAAAACCAAAAACCAAGGGAAATGTTCCAACTGACTGAGAAGCTCACTGCTACTCGACTGATGGTAAAGAAGTATCTCTCATCAAATCTCATTAACCAGCTGCTTATTATTTCAGTCAGAGACAGGGAGACAAATCTGTAATGAAGGACATGATTAATTAATCAATAAAGATGACAACTTCCTTCATGGCCCCTGATGAATTTAACCTGTTGGTGGACAGCACACGACTTATAATAAATTCTTCTTTAACAAATGTTTAAACATTATTTATAGATTAGTTAGTCATAAGTTAATCAGTTTTTCTGTATCTCATCATAGCGAAAAAATCTATAAAGAAAGACTAAGATATTTAGCAACCAAAGCACAAGTTCTGAAGTAACGAATGAACTAACAAAGTAAGGAATTGTTAACTTATTCTAATGCATCATTTTCTAATAAAGCTAGAGAACGGAAAAAAACTGTTAAGTTAATGACCAACATTTAACTAAAAAATGATTGTGGCTTTAAAACTCTTGTAGTTTAAAATATTTTTCAGGTCAAACACTGATTGTTTTTTTGTTGTTTTTTTAACTTAAGTTTTCTTTTTCTTTTTTATTGGTTTCACATTTTTGCAATATGTGCAGTTAGTAGTATAGCTAAATGTGGAATAGGACTACTGTTTATTGTTCATGATGAAAATAGTCCTCTGTTCGGCCTGCATGACCACCCAGGTATAAAAGCTGGTGGCATGCCAGAGTCACGCTGCATGGAGCAGTGTGCATTGATTTAATTAGCAGATAAGTAGGTGCACACATTCTAACAAAGGAGCAATTTAAAAAACGACAGATTTTTCTTTTTGCTTTATGCCAAATTAGTAAAATGTGTCTATCCCCAGTGACACATCGCGATCCATATTTACACTATCTTTGCACAGAGTAAGTTCACCTACAGATTCAGTTATATCAGTCTGAATACAAACTGTAATTCAACCATACATAGTTGTATGTAACTGTTATGAGTATAAAACCGAAAGGATAGATATGAAAAACAAAAGGAAAGTTAAACTGTAATTTTGCTCTGTTGATTTGTTGCCTCTCTCCACAATCCTTAAAAAACCAAGGCTCCGGTGTGTGAAAGAATACATCTGAAGGGAACTCTGATTGATTAAAATTTGACATTCAACAATGTCATCTCCGGTTGTCATCTCCATTTGTCTGAGAAACGGAGCGTATTCATTTGAACTCTTTCAGGTCTCAGGATAGATCTTTTTATTTACCCAGCACAGGTAAAAAGATCTCACAGGACAAAATCTCTAAATGAATTTCGGTACATTGGAAGCAGTGGAACTACCAGGAGAGCAACGATGAAATGTCATTAGAACACTGCCTGAAACAAATGCTGTGAAAAAGGGTATAGGCTTTCTAATCTACATATACTTCCATCATATTCAATGAACACACACGTGATAACAGCTGTAATCTTGCCAAGTAATGAGTACCTTTAGATGGATTGTTATTCACTGGCATATCAATATAAGAACTGTTGTTAAAAGTATAAGAAATAAGCATAAATCAGCAGTGTCTCCAACAACTGCTTTGAAATGATAAAACTATGCAGCAAAGTCTCTCTAAATGCTTTGGATTAGCTTGAAGTGGGTGTCATTGTACAACCACTTTTTAAAAAAACTTCTTTTTTTTTTTTAAATATTACATTAAACATAATTGGGGTAACTCGAGTGGCGGTTCAGATGCCATACGTCTTTGTCCCAGCCCAAGACCAAGTGCTCTGTGTCATCCTCCATACCTCATTTTCCCTCTCCTCTCCTCACTGTCAATTAGACCACTAAAGTCAAATCTTGGGGAAAAAATATTGGAAGAAGGCCATCAATCAGTTTTATTGTTTGCCAGCCCAGAACAGAAACAGCTGGTAAGACACAACTTCTTTATTTTTTCCGCGTCAAATGCGATTAGGAAACTGTTTCCATTCTCCTACAATGGATCATCTTCTTCAAATCAGAAAAAAAAACATGAAACGCCTAACAGATTTTTTCGTCATATATTTATTCATTTTAATAGTCTTATCCATATTTTCTTACTCATAAAGGAAATATGACTAAACTAGCACCAAACGGTGGAAATCAGTCATAATTCAGAAAAAAAAAGGTAAAAACTGAAGGCATCCTGACCAAGATGTAGAACATGATGCAATGGATAGCTAAAAGATTTTTTTCCCACAGCTGTTAAATACTTGTTACTCTTAGAAATATTTGGCAATTAAATCAAGCTCTTTTCTATTTTGACAAGGTAATTAAACTCAAATTATGTCGGCTGACACAGTTTAAGGCTCACTAAAATAGTTACATGCCACCATTCCATGCATCCTTGAAACACAGATATGGCATTCCATGATAGATAAATAATTGACTAAGTATTTTTTTAAATATGATATGGAAGTTTCGAAATTATAGCAAAAAACAAGAAACAACTACAAAGACAGAAAGGGTGTTTGATAAGAAAAAGGATTTCCTGCAAATGTGTGGAAGAAAAAAAAATGATAAAGTTGGTAAGCTAGTTTACCCTCAGCTACATAAAAACACGGTGATAATCCAGGACACTTGCCAACCTTCTCCATCTCTCCCACTGTGCTTTTTTTTTCCACGAGTGACCAGTGGCTGCTCAAACCACATGAAAACCATTCATCATCGCTTCTTTAACATCAGTTTATGGCGGGGAGAAAGGAGAAGTGCAAGCATCCGCACAGACACAAATACAGCACACCCGACTAGCTCCATATGAGCTATCAATCATGAATATTGTCATTATTCTGTGTCATCGACAAGACCCTTTTCTTCCCTCTCGATAGTCTGTCTTTCTCTTTATCCCTTTTTCTTTCTATAAATTCTCTCACTCTTGCACACACACACACAGACAAAGACGGCGAGAATCATGAATCATAAATCTTATGAATGCCATCTAAAGACTGCTCAGTGCTATGAGAAAGAGAGATGATTGATAGCTGAGAGTGACGGCGGCGAAAGCAAAGAAGACGGACAGAAGGTTGTAACCAGAAACACCGAGGTCGGAAACTGCAGTTCAGGGGTCAAACGCATCAGAGCGTCAGCGCGCAATATGGCAGAGAAGGGAGAAAATCTAAGGGGGGGGGGGGGGAGAAAGAGGAGGGGAGGGAGTAAATGGTTGAAGAAGAACGGAGAGAGGAGGGAGGAGGCGAGGATGGGGGATGCTGCCACAGTGAGGCTAAAGCCATAACTCATCTTTTATTAAAAATAATGAAAAAAACTTAATGAGTTAATAATATCTGGAGAAAGAGATGGGGAGTGAGCAGAGATGGAGGAAGGGACAGGAGGACAGAGGAGAGGAAGGAGAGGAAAAAAGGAACTGGGAGAGAAAACGGCGCAGAGAGAATGGGGTCAGTTTGAATGCGTCTCCTTCCACTGTTTGGTCATTTCTTCCACTTTTCAAAGTTCACTCAAGAATCATTAGACGGACGGGGACAATCACGGCAAACCCTCTTTCTGCCGACCTAAATCCCAAAGCCTGCTTGGTAATTAAAGGCACTTAACAACCAATTAACAGAGATGAGCTAAATTAGCAGGATATTGTCTCCTTTGACTCAGCTAGTGCATTATCAGTGTGTTGAAACAGCGATGAACAAACCTCAGTGGCCCATGTTCTCATGTAGGCAAATGACGGATTAATTACTATTAAAACAGCAGCATCTTAATGAGCTTGGAAACAATTAAAGGGGTCGTTAGCGTGTGGAGAACGGCTGAGAACAGGAGAAGGGAGGGCTTGAACAAAACAAGAGAGAAATCTTCATTGGGAAGCAATACTGATTAAATGGACGTTCGGTCGCACTCATCGCCCAATATCCACGGACTTATTAAATACATGACATCTCCATTTGTCTTTTCCACCATCAAG